GAAATATTACATCTCTTTTTCCCTCAGTATTATTTTATACACTAAACCAACTTGAATATATTATATACATACTATTGTTCTTGCATTATATATTTTACACACACACACACGCACACATACACATATACACACATACACATACATACACACACACACATATATATATATATATATATATATATATCTATATATATATATATATATATATATATATATATATATATATATATATATATATATATATATATATATATATATATATATATATATATGTGTGTGTGTGTGTGTGTGTGTGTATTTTTTTATTAGTTTTTTTTTTCTTTTTTTCCTAATTCGGGATTAAAATATCCCGATCGGGATTGAACCAATTCCCTAATACCGATCCCGTATTTGTTCCTAATCCCAATCCCGAATCCCGTAATCCCGAATTCCCGAAGTTTTAGTCCCAAATAGTAAAATTCCGATCGGGACGAGACGGGATCCCGAATCCCGATCCCAAATGCCCAGCCCTAGTAGAAACCCATGAAAGCAAGCAAATCAGTTGTTTAGCAGACACTTAATTAACAATCATTAATTACAATTTATAAGATCACTGTCTTAATTAATTAATTAATTAATGAAAAGATTAATATGCATGTGACATCACCACCTTCCCTTTTGAACTAAACCCTGGACTAGTGTGTTGTTCGGGGGTGGAGGGGCTTCTCCATCCGACAAGGAACCTCAGTTCAACAAGCAATATATATATATATATATATATATATATATATATATATATATATATATATATATATATATATATATATATATATATATATATATGCAGAAGAATGAAAAAGCCTTTGTTTAGTGAAAAATGATTAACTAACTTCAAGACTTTTGTGAATTAACCAAAGTGTGAGAAACAAGCTCTAATTAAGGGGGTTATATAATACATGCATGTATCTATACACACACACAAGTTTTTTTTCTCATAATCTGTTTTTAGGTGATTAAAAAATCAACTTTTGCTTCTGATTTACTTAAAATAAGTTGTTTTAAACTAGTTTTTTAAAGACACTCGATCATACACCTTTTTTTTTTTTTATATTTAAGTTCATTTTCCAGCATGTTTACAAACACCGTCAACTTTTAGACATAAGCACTTCATACTCACTTAATTCACAATCACGAACTTTTGCTTTTGAATAAGCTTTTACAAATATTACCTAAGCCTTGACGTTTTTCCCTTTTTTATATTATTTCTTTTTATGATTTTTAGTACTTTTTGAGTGTTTTAATTAAGCAAATAGTCCATATAAAAAATATAAAAAGTGATGAAAATAATAAATAAAAGTAGAAAGTTTGATGAACCAACTTCCTCCCCATTAACCAACTCTCTCTCTCTCTCTCTCTCTCTCTCTCTCTCTCTCTCTCTCTCTCTCTCTCTCTCTCTCTCTCTCTCTCTCTCTCTCTCAATTGTCAAATTATACAAATAGAAATTGCAAGAGTGTCACAATCGAATATCTCTTCAAGTCTCTATCTTTCATTGATGTTCACTTCTTTAATTTGGTGAAGCAATGTTTTTGATGATTTCAGAAACATTATAACTATTAATTGTATATATTTGTACGCTTAAAAGGAATATTATAATTACATGTCGTATATTACCGTATCGTATCTCATAAATACAGATAGTTAATTTCTTAGTTATTGCTCAGTTTGTTTCTAAATATGTGTCGTTTTAAATTGATGTCGATGTATACATTAATAAAATCAATAAATATACTTGAATTTTGGGGAAAAAAATATATAGGACGTGAATAAAATATCGTTCCTATAAAATTTCTTTGCACCAATTATGTTTTTAACTAAAATAATAGTTATAGATAATGTGACATAGCTAGTAATCCTACGTACACTTTAAACTTGTACAAATTAATACTATTGGAACTAGTTTAGCCGAATATTAAATTATGGAGTTAATAAATTAGCACGATATCATCAAATTGGGATCGAAGTAATTATTATCTAAAATTATTAATTTATTGAGTATTAATTTATCGAAGTTGTGGAGAGAGATATATGGAGCAAGAGGTATTCGGCCATGCAAAAATATGTAAAATCAATATATGACGACCATTGCGTGCATGGTGTATGTTCCTCTGACCATACAGCAGCCGCCACCTGTTCCTATGAAGATGACTTTCTTATTTTGAACCCTTTCTTCTTTATTCATGATATTGATAGTGTGTGAATTCCCGAAATTGCCCTTTTACCCTTGCATAATTATGTCACACATAATCTACTTTTTGTTCTTTCTCCCCGGGCCCACCCAAATATGTTTCTGTGATCTATTTTTTTAACCCATTTTTTTAAGGGAAATACATTGATAATTTTAATTTCATGTTTGGTAGTTAATAGTTAATTGATCTATTACAATTTACAAGAACCTATTAATTTCAATGCTTACGTACGCCAAAGTAAAAAACCATGCATACATACTCTAGCTATGAAATAGTTTCTCAAGAAAGCTTCGTTAATTAATACGCGATGGGAGGGCATTTTCGTCATTTATGGGACGCATGCCATGTATCCATATGATAGGTACATATATCATACAAGAAAAGAACAAATGAGGAAAAACAAATTAAAGTGTGTTGTTATATATATAGTGAGAGTGGTCTCCCATTT